AAAAATATATGCTTATAATAAAGTCATGAGGCATGACCTCACCTTAACACCGAAAATATATATATATATATATATATATAGTTTTTCTAATACTTTAGATAATTCAGAAATCTATTTAATTGAATTGGATCAAATTGAAAAAGAAGAAGACTATATTATTGATCTAGTAGATGAAAATAAGAAAAATGAAAAAAGTATTGCAATATCTAGTATATCTTATATAAATACTAAAAGAAGTTACTTAATCAAAGAAGATAAAACTAAAATGATGAGTATTCTATTGTACTAAAATATAAATATAAAAAAAAAGAAAGATATATTATAATTAAAAAAAAAAAAGTATATAATTAGAAAGAAAAAAATACATTATAATTAGAAAGAAAGATATTATAATTGAAAAAAAACAGATCTAACAGTTGTTTATAAATAAGAAATCAAACATAGAAATATGAATTTATTTTACCTCTTTGTGAAAGTATAAATTGATATTAGTTTAAAAGATTAAGTGATATATAGTATAATAAGCATAAGCAAATTCAAATTAGTATACTATTTAACAACAATGTAATAAGCAGTTTGTTGAAGCAAAAAAAAAATTATATATATGTATATACTCTTGATTAAAGGTAATATGTACTAAATATATATAAATAAAATACGTATAATATATAGCAATAAGTGTATATATACTTTGTTTTGATATTATATACTAATAAAATTTTTGAATTTTAAAAAGTTTTATTATTATTAATTAATTGATTAATCTAATATAGTCAACTATGGTACATAAAAGGAGCAGTAGTCTAATTTGGTAGTGTACAACATAAATATCTGAATCAATGTAAAATAATACTTTAGTATAGCAGCAGGTAGCTTGAAATATAAGTTCTATGACTACAGCAGTACCTGTTTGAAATATGGATTAGGTCCTTAAAGTAGCTTCTTTAGAGATACCAAACTGGAAGTACAAAGAGCACTTACTTAAGAGACACCAATTTGAAAGTAATACAAGAAATGAATTAGAAGTAATGTGATAAGTAATAAGAATAAAAGTTGGTTAGTAGATGTTGTATAGTAGTATATAAGTGGGATATATCAGTGATGGTAAATGACCTAAAATGACCCAAATGACCCAAATGACAAATGACCAGTCATTGGGTCATTTCAAAGATGAAATGACCTAGTGGGTTATTTGAATTTGATTGGTGAATTGCGCAGGGGCATTAATTTGAATTTCGGCCTGAATTAAGCTTAATTTAGGCCGAAATTCGAAATCATATCTCTGCATGTTATTTCGCGCTTATACAGTACATTATAATTAATAAATATCTGCATATAAGTATTAGAATTTTTTTTTTTTTTTTTTTTTTTTTTTTTTAGTT